AGACCTCCATGGATTGCTACATTTGATTTTCATTGATAATTTTTGTATGATTTTGTTGTCAGTACATTCAACTATGTAATGAACAAAGTATTTAATAAGAATATTTCATTCATTCAGATCTAGGATGTCTTATTTTTGTGTTCTTTATTTTTTTGAGCAGTGTATTTCTTCAAACCAATATTCTGGATATTCATGGCACATTGAATTACATATTAACACACACTGAGTTCACATAATGAAGCTAAAATGTAGTTGGCCAGCATTCTATTTTCTGTCAGGCAACCATCTAAATTGAGAGAAAACTCAGTTCTTTGTTGTTGCTAGATGACATCTGTTAGCTGTCAGTATCAGGGATGGGATAAGATTGGGGATTCTAGAAAATCACAGATCTCTCAAGACTGAAGAAATATAGAATCAGCAATGTAAACTAGATTTATGTTGAAATCACATGGAGCCATATAAACCATAGTGGGGTTTTTTGTAGAGGTATGTTAAACCAAAAGAATTGTGCCATATTGTTATCTTGTATGTAAATGTTTCATGCAATACTTCAATCAAATGCTGCCAAATAAGTTTACATGTACAATATCATCAAACTACTGTAGGTGGCAAAATCAGAATGGCCATTTCCACTAGATGGAAGCCGACTGATACGAAAAAAAACCTCTGCTGTGTCTGGCAATCATAGGAATGTTTGCAGTCCATATAGGGTAGCCCTACAAAAGCATTTCTCCTTGTTCTGGGAATTTACTCCACTTCAGACATGAAACAAACCTCATTTAAATCAGCAAGAATACTCGATATTAATGAGAAACTCATCTTGCAGTGCAAATAGTTCACTTTAGGGGAGCAGTGTTTCTCCGGAATTTAATTCAATAATTGAATTTGAAAGAGGGAAAGATGGAAAAATCTGTGCAGAGTTAACGCCACTTTGAGGAGGCGGGGGTTTGAGATAGTTCTTCAAACGCTTCCCAGCTCAACTCCTTTCCTTCGTTGCAAAACGGAGCAGAAACGATCCTTTTCACAGTTGCTGGCCATCTGAAGGCAATGCAAACTCGCTGTAAATTCCTTTTCTACTTAACTGCGGTAATTCTTTGGTTCCCGCTTACGAATAAAGACGACTCCGGGCGAGCAGCGCAAGTAAATAAAATGATTGTAACAGCCCCGTGAGCAGTTAACGCTGAGCTCTTTTGTGAGAGACTTCGAGTTTCCTGTGGGAAACGCTGACGGCCAACATGAAGGGTTTTCTCACTTCCTGTGGGCGAACTACTCAGGGCACCGACGGCTGCCTTGCGGGGGCGACTCCCTGCCCTCGCCTGTGGTATTGATGGAGGAAGGGGGTCTCCATTTCCTGAACGGACTTCTGATGAGGTTTCCTGTGTGGATCATCAAAGAAGTGGGAGAAGACCGAGGGTTTATGCGCCTGCATTAGGCGGCGTAAGCTTCCCCCGAGTGGCGGAACAGCAGATCATAAACGCCGAGTATTTGCTGCTTCCTGCAGGGGATCCCCAAGCGGAGACGGAGAGGTCGGAAGCAACTTGTGCGCGTTCTGGGGTGGGAAGCCCGCCGTCGGGGCGCTTGTGCCCGCTTGTTTTCGCGGTGATGCTGCAGTTTGCCATTTCGCGCCTGAAAAAATAATGTGGAAATTCAGTAGTCCTAGAGGCGGCCCTGGAGCTCGGCTCATTGTTCTCCACAAACATCAGCCGTCTCTCCACAAAACCCTTCAAGCCGCGCCTGCCCTACCCTTTTAAATCCGCCCAGCTCCTCCTCACGGATTCACAGGACAAGCCCAGAACCACCTGGGGCGTTGAGAGTTTCTCTCCCCCGCCCGTCCCTTGCCACGCCCCTTTTGAACTGACGCCCAATCCCCAGGGACTTGAGGAAATCTGTCCGTGCCGCGCCTGACCGGACCGGCACAGTCAGTTAAAGGAGGTGGGGGGGGGAGGGGTTTATCTCCTTCTATTGGCTCAGGGTCACAACCAATGGCGCGGTGAGGGAAAAGTGCCGTCAGGGAAAAGGAAAACCCTGAGACTGTGACGTAAAGAAACGGAGAGGAACAACGGGGCCGGGGAAATGGAATCCCGGGAGAAGAAAGACTAGCGCTCCGCAATAGGTGTGTGGCATGAATGGAAACGGGGCGGGCAGACAGGATGCCCTTCGGCTGTGGAGGCTCGAGAGTTTCCAGAAAAGAAAAGATGCGCGGCAGCGATGCCGCTTGTGTGCGTCTATGTATGTATGTGCGTGAGGGGAAGAGTCCAAGCAGGTGGGAACGTAGCTGTGGATGGGTCAAAGGAACCTGGGACAGCGGAAGTTAGGAGGGGCCGTTTTGGTTAGGGATGGGCTGGGAGAAGACGAAGGGCGGGGGGCATTTGCGAGCCACCCGGCCCGGTGGTTTCAAGCGATTTGGGTGGGTGGGGGGCATCGGAGACTGCGGCCTCCGTGCACTTGGGAGGATTCTAGGTGTAGAACAAGCTTTACAGGCTTAATGGGAGAAATGTTCTCATTTCAACCTGTTTTTTTTTTTTTTGCAGATTATAAAGTTCTTTCTTGTTTAAAGCAGACTCTGTTATCTGTCATCGGGAAGTCTTTATTTACGTTTCCAGAAAATCTTCCCAAAGAGAACCTGTTTTTCAAGAACGAGCCATTTTATTTCGCTAGCTTCGGATAATTTTGTTTTGTTCCTCCTACGGCCTTGAATTAGTCACTGTGGTATTAATGAAAGCTGAAGTTGAGGCGGCTATTACAATTCCATACTTGTATTCAATATGGGCAAGCAAACTCTACAAAACTTGTACTCAGGACTACTGGCAAGTTGCACAAGCATTTGCATTGTTTAAGATTTTGCAATGAGCTCCAGTGATTCACTGAAGGTCTTTTCAACTTGGTAAAGCCTCCATTTTCAGGAAGTTTGTGTGTCACAACCCTAAGCTAGTTTTCAGACTAGTTCCAGCAAAGTACTTCTTACTCATGCTTATGCTTCCTCAAACATGCTATTCCATTATCTATAAAAGAATCTTAAATATGCATAGCCTAAATATGCATGAAGCATAAAGATATTGCTTAATATTCCGCATAAAGAGGTTCTGAAATAGTGAAATCCTTTTTTCAGAACTATTTAGCAGTGAAAAATTCACATTGAATTATGTATGCTGGTTTCCTAAACACAAGGAAATGCAGAACTGACAGCTTTCTATCACAAGTTTGCATGCTGCCTTGACTCATGTTAGTGACATTACAAAAACACTGAAGACAGTTTCTTATCCTGTTTCATAAGCATCTTATATGTTTAATCATTTAGGCAGTGATTAAACCAAATTGCCCATGAACAAACTTACCTTGTGTCTGTTTTTTTATTTTTTTATAAAGTGGATCTATTGCTTTCAGGGTTATGAATGCTGTATTTTTGGAATTTAATTGAGACTGTTGTATGTTTGATTTCTATCCTTAATAAAGATCCGTCACTAAAACACAAATAATGAATGTTATTGTCAGAAGTTCACCTTAGTAAAATATTGTTCAATTAAAATCCCTTTTCCTGATACATATTTTAACTGGAACCTGATGCTTTTTGTGACCTCTCACTCTTCTCATGTGCCTTCCCTTCTTTTTTTGACATGGGAATGTATTTGTCTTGGTAAAAATCTCTCCAAATATCTCATCAGGAATCATGCCGCAGTTCTGGTTGTATTTAGCTTATCTCTTCTGTTTTCAAAATATTAATTATTTAAGAACTTACCTTGAATGAAAAGGGGGACTTCTCTCCTTCCCCCTCAAAAAGTAATTTGAAGTCAAGACAGTCTATCAAGCATTCAGTTCTGAATGACCTGCTATAATATATGAAAATATAGACTATGCTAAAAAATTTCCAAATTAATTAAAATTTAAAAATGATCAGCATCAAAAGAATATAGGATTTTGTTGCTAAATATTAGTGTTTGTCCTCCCTCTCTCCATGTCTGCTTAATTAACAAATGTATGTATTTAATGGGCAAATATTTTTTTCTAATATCTCAGAAGTATGTAGGCTCATACCTAAAATCTCACATAGTTAAGCACTTTATGTACTGATAAACATTTAAATTCAGTTGGCATTTAGTGATGCTATCAATATATTGCCAGTTGGGCAAGATAATATTTCTCCTGGTCTTAAATAATCTTACACCCTCTCTTGAGCAATAAGCTCTTGGATTGCATTATATTTGATATCTTGGTTTGAACCTCTAAGATTTAATTCTTATTTTTCTAAAAGCAAGTTTCAGTGACCTCATATGTTTATATTGTGTTCTGTTACATTGAAACAAATTAATTACTCATTACTAAGGTCATGGTTGAAAAATATTTTTTGAGACTTGTACGATCTTACAGAACAACTCTTGAGTGGTTTTATGATACAAGAGGTTTTTAATCAATCTTTAATACATTTACTGCAATGTGATAAATCATTTACATGATTTATCACATTGAAATTTAAGAGTTCTGAATTCAGGTGAAATATAAGAGAGGGTGAAAAATGTTGAATTAAGAGGAAATATTATTTAACAGATCCTAACTGATAACGTAGCAGACAATGAAATGATACATTTTCAGTTTAATGATGACGTTCTCTAATATAATTTTAAATTCATGCAGTAATTTCATATAATTCTCAGAACATACAGTATGTTATTAGCTGTTATGGGAAAATCAGTAATGTTGCATCCTTTCCATGGATAATATTGTGGGTAGTATAGGTTTATGGCCAATCCATTCTTTTATATTTATGAACTGACAAAAAAAATTGTTTATTGTGGAAACATTCCTTCTTTCCTTCAGATCCAAATTATAGTTTGCAGAGGGCTGTAACTGATCAAATGACTTAATACAATAATATATATACAGTACAGATTTAACCTTTTGAAAATCATTTTTTTTTATTTTCTAATATGTAATCCACTGCAGTATCTGTGGCCATTAAGAAATTGTATTTCATGAGGTGTTTTATTCCATAATAACAGATCAATCGGGCAGCTTCTTACTACTTCATCCCTAAAGAAGTTTCTGCTATACATTCAAAAGAGTCTGTTTTATTAAGTGCTGATTACCAGTGAATGCTGGAATTCCTGAACAGCATGCATCTGAAGACTAAACCAAAATATCAGTATCTTTGTATACTTGCCACAAAAGAAGAGAAATGTGGATTCATGCCCATTTCTGGTCATCCACATGTATAGCATTATGTTAGAAATTAGAAGCCATTTAGGGGTAGGGAGAGGTTATATATTAACTCTCTGAACGTATATGGACATGTGTCATGACCTGCTGTAAGGCATATCCAGTGCCGCCTCTGAGAAAATCTAAAATGCATGGATTGTAATAATGACTTGCGCTAAGGAATTTCTGATGGCAGTGCAGAATGGCAAAACAATTTGAAAATACTTATTTGAAAAGGACACTATAAACTGCAAGAAATGAAAAAGAGGTGAGTGGAATAGTACAGATTGAATTGTGACATGTACTTAAAAGACTCACATGTTAGTGTGAACTGGGGCAATAGATGTGGAATTCACAGCATAGAAATATGTGGAATACCCATGTTTAGCAAAAACTATAGCCATACTCAGACATAATAAGCCAAAAGCTAGTTTGTGACCATTGGAAGAAGCTCATATTAAAATATGTATTAATGGATTCTTGATATATGAGTATACATATTAGTTAAGCTTCTTAATCTATTGGAAATCAATGAATTTAGGCACTTAACTGAAAAATAATTGCTGGACATATTTATCTTATTAATTACTGATGTGTCTTAACAGGAAATTTATTGTAACTAAATAAAAGTGTAACTAATGCTTAAAACACTTTTATTGCACTACAGAATATATTTTTTATATATGCATTATCTTATTCCCAGATTGAGGGATCCTACAGTGGTCACTCATTCCCATTTGATCTCCTGATTGGACTATTGCAATGCACTCTATGTGGAGCTGCCTTTGAAGAGTGTTTGGAAACTTCAGCTGGTGCAGTGCAGTGGTGCAAGCATTTAAAATATAAAATAAAAATAAAATATGTTACACTTCTGCTCTGTGAGCTTCGTTGGTTACCAGTTTGTTTCAGAATCCAATTCAAGGTGCTGCTGTTCGCCTTTATATGCCTAAATGACATGGGACTGGTTTGTTTGAGGGACTGTATTTTGTTATCTTCTGCAGTTCTTTCTTTTCTGAGGTCGCCACATCTACAATCCACTTTTTTGTCTTATTGACAATTGACAAAACTTGTGGGTGCCTATTATGTGGCAGATGCTTTTTGTTTGAATTCTAAAGTCCCAGTGCGCTTTAGCTCCTTCATTTTCTATTTCTTTCTCTATTTTATGTTCCCATCCATTCTTGCTTGAAGATAAATAGCATTTCTTGAGGATCTTCCAATGCACCACTGTTGCTACTTTGTCATGGGGTTGTTTGTATCAGTCTGTGCAATCTTCTTACAGCAGCTAACCAGGTAATCCACTGTTTCTTTAGATTCTTTGCAGAGGTAACACTTGCTATTTGTTGCTGTTTTCTCAATAATTTTGTCTCTGGCTTTGTATGCTTGGTCTTTCTGTGCCTCTTTTCTGTTCTTCATTTGGTCTTTTTTTGTAGGCCAGTTTGGTCTCTCCGGTACTCAGTAGGACTTCCTGGTGTTCTAGCTTCAGCGCATTTCCACTGTTGTTCAGGTATTCTCCCAAAGGTCTTTTTTCTTCTTTAACCATCTGATGTACTTGCAACATTACACTCCCACTTATTTTCCTTGATAGTAGAGTCTGACAACATTGCTGCATGGATGAAGGGCATGACTCATTATTTCCCTAGTCTTCCTATCCAGGGCTTTTAGTTATGCTTGAGTCCATTTCACTATTCCAGATGTGTATAATGACTGGAATTGCCAGGTGTAAATTGTCTTGATGGTATTGGTTCCATTAGTTTGGACTTTAAGATCTTTCTCACTCTCTTGATGTATTCATTTCTAACCTTGTTTTGATTTCAGTATGCTTGATGTTGTCACCTTGAAGGATGCTCAAGTATTTTTAGTGATCTTCATACAGACTCTTAATGTTATTTACAAATGGCATCTTGATGTCTTGTTATTTCCATAGGGCATCTTGACATCACTATTTTTCCCCATTTGATGGTAAGCATGCAGTCCAAAGCATGCACTCCATTGCAATATCTTGGCTGTATATATGGACAGGGCTGAACAGCAATCCTGTTTCAGATGGTGTTTATGGTTTGATGCACAGTCAGCCAGATACTCAAACTGAAATTGGCATTTTTATCCATCTATCGAGGCCTTTTCAAGGATCTGGGATAGGTAGATGTTTGATAGTGGTCTTGTTGCAGAATATAAATTATTCCAAGCAAAGCTGCCTTTTGTGATTATTATTAACTATTTTTTAGATTGTTGTACATTTCCCAAAATAATTTGTTTTATAAAATGGGCAGCCATGTAAATTTGAAAAATAAATAAAAATTATGCAGTACTGTATTGCACTGCAGTACAATATATGCAGATAGTCCTGGATTTACAACCATTCATTTAGTGACTGTTCAAGGTTACAATGGCATTGAAAAAGGTGATCGATGACTATTTTCACACTTACAACTGTTGCAGAATTCCCATGGTCATGTAATCAAAAGTTGCATGCTTGGCAACTGCTATGTATTTATGACAGTTGTCGTATCCTGCGGTCATGTGATCACCTTTTGCAACCCTCTGTCAAACAAAGTCAATGGGTAGCCAGGTTCACTTAATAACCATGTTACTAAGTTAATAACTGCATTGAATCACTTAACAACTGTAGCAAGCAAGTTCATAAAATGGGACAAAATTCACTTATAACCATCTTGCTTAGCAATGGAAATTTTGGGTTCTATTGTGATCATAAGTTGAGGAATATCTGTATTGCATTGAGATTCCTAATTCATTGTTTATTATATTTGTCTTGCTTTTCTATCAGGAAGAAAATAGTGTGCTGTTCCTCTCACTATTTACTAGTGGCCTAATGCCTAGTGCAAGACCCAGTTTGGTTAGTGGTTAAGGCATCAGGCTAGAAACCAGGTAGTGTGAGTTCTCATCCTGCCTTATGCATGAAGAGAGTTGAGTAACCTTGGGCAGTAATTTTCTTTTAGTCCTATGAAAAAGGCAATGGCAAACCACTTCTGAAAAACCTTGTCAAGAAAACTGCAGGGATTTGCTCAGGCAAATTTGAGACTCAGATATGATTGAATGAAAGTATGCTTGTGTTAAGATTTTACTTTGAATTGTGATTGTTTGAATTCATTTATTGTTCAAATGTATATGAATGCCCACCTCAAATTCATGAATCTGGGCAACTCACAGTTAAAAACATTATAAAAAGATAGCAATACAAACATATCAAAGTAAATTCCATAGTGTTCTAAATATAGAATCATAGAAATATTTAGGCCATTTACCCATTTCTCTTCTCAATCTAAATTAAAGCATTCCCAGCAGACTGACCATTAGCTTCTCTACTTTTGCTCAGTCAGTGAAGAAGAGCTTACCATCTCCCTAGTCAAATTGTTCATTTCCCCTAAACTTCATATGAAATTTGCCTTTCTGTTATTCTATGACAGATTCTGAAATTATTGAGAACAGGGTTTTTCTTCATATATTTGAAGAATATTATCATACCTCTCTTCAGTTCTCCTTTCTCAAAGCTAAACATCCAGCTTCTTCAACTTCTCTTTATAGGTTTTAGTTTCTAGTCGCTGATCATTTTTGTTGCACTTCTCTGATTATATCCTAGTTTGTCTAAATGTTTCTTAAGTGCAATACTCAGAAATTGACTTAGTAGTCATAGGATCTGATTAGTGCAGAATAAAGTGGATCTGTATAATAGATTTGTTTCTTATGAAGGTTATTTCTGTCTTCTAGAGTATTAGCTGTACCAATAAAGGACAATATTTGTAACTCAGGATTGAAATGAAGGGTCTTTGATACTCTCTGAGCTTGGTTATTTTCTTGCAGACATTTCATTACCCAAATTACATTACATCATTATTGCTCTTCAAGAAAACAACCAAGCTCAAGAAAGCCCCAAGGACCCCTCAGTATTAGTTGCTCCATCCAATTTTGTGTTATCTAAAATGTGATAAGGATTCCACCATTTCTTAGTCCAAATCATAATAAAAATATTTAAGTTATTTGAACCTTATTGTACCTCTCTAATTTGATGAACAACCATTGATGAACATTCTTTGAATATTATATAAGTTATGTTTTTCCTTTCATTATGCACCTTGTCTACACTTAACTAACTTGTTGCTCAGAATTCATTGGATACTTTTTAAATGCTTTGCTGAAGTAAAGATATATTAAATGCATATTGTTTCCACAATGATCATTTTCACAAAGCTTGTTTTTAAGAAATATATAATTCTGGTAATTACATTGTTTTTAAGATGTTCATGGTACTGCTTTATAATTTGTATGAAAACATCCGAAGTATTGATGTCAAATTGGTTAGTAATTCAATGTATCCTCCTTTTCTCCATTTTTGAAAATAGGAATAATGTAAATACATTTATAATGATCTAGCATTTTCACCTATTGTCTAATTTTCTCAAAGATAATAGACAAACAATTAGCCAATATCTTCAATACTCATATGGTCTGGACATCTAGCAAAGTCAACAGATAGTCCCAGACCAAGTTTCTATGAGTCTCTATACTTTAATCCTGTCTCTTTCCTCATCCTACTTTTCACAAATTCCTGGTGATTTACATACTTTTTTTGATTTGACTGAAGCAAATAGAACAGTTGGGTACATTAAACTGCTTTATGTTTATTAGCATTTTGCTATTTTACTGAGCCTTTTTTCTCTGAATGTATCTTAAAATCCTAAAGTTACATGTGGACCACGCAACAGCTAAACTGGTAAACTTCCAACATTCAAAGCCTCAGCCACATAGTCAACCTGTGTTATCAATTTATACAGTATTAAAAAAGAAGGTTCCTGTATTTTCATGCATAAGTAGAATTGAAAAATGTATAGAAATCTTGCAGGCCAGCTCAACTTGAGTTAGGTGGACCAATGTTCTAATCTGATATCAGACACCATCTTCAGTGTATTACTCACAGAGCAGGTGCTTCTAACAATTGAGAAAGATATTTTAAATGTGCACCTGTTACTCTGCCAGTTTCACATACAAAAATTGTGAACTAAATCATGAATTAAACTCTTATCAGAAAAATAACAGTAGATGGTAGGAATGACAGCTAGCAAACATGGATTTTGGTAATTCAGGCACAGTGAACTTGGAAGAAAGTGGTCAGTGACTTCACCACAATATTCGTCTGGATTCATGTCTGTTAACTTGGGTATCCCATTTCACTCTAACTTCTGAAGGCATGCTCTAATTAATCTTCTAAATAAACACTTTAAAAATGTTAAGTTTTGACCTGTATAATTATAAACACATTCAGACATCTCTCAAAAGTAAATCAAAAGGATTCCCTTTCAGTATTTTTAGTTTGAGAATAGTGGGTAACCTGGCAATGCTTGTGCTTCTCTACTTCAATCCACATACTAATAGAGTTTAACATTTCATAGTCTTTACAATTAAGGGGATGTGTAGAATTTCTCCCCCTGTTCTCTTGGGAGCCATAATGGAAAAAGAAGATGCCCTTCACATGTGGCCATTTGTCTTATGGAATTCACTGAGGGTATTTGGGCAAGACTCCCATGATAATTTTTGACAGATTCACATCACCCTGCAAGCTGTCTTCTAGTATTTTACTGGACATACTGTACCAATGTAACCTGGAAAGAGTACATCCAAGACCTTGTGTTTCTTGAAAAAAAAATCACTAGATTTGGTAGACTACAATCCCTATAAACTTGATCACGATGACCTATATATCGCACAGAGATCAGACGGGATCAGCCCCGAGGATCCGCTCACGGGAGAAATCGCCCTCCCGGGTTGAGGGATCCTGCGACTCCGCTGTTAACAGACGGAACCCCAGAAACCGGCTCCTCGCTGAAGCGGAAAATTCAAGATTTGCGAGAGGCTCTTAATGGCAGGTGCCTTTCTTTATTCTTTCCCAAACTTGATCATCGACAAACAAGTTTTCCGGCTTGTGAAGGTCGGAAAACTTTTCCAAGCCAAGAAGAGCAGTCGCAGCAGGAGCAAACAGCCGGCCGAAGCGGGTTCTGTGTGGGCAGCTTAACGTTGCGTCTGCGGGAGGCCACGAGGACTCCGGCAAATGTCGCCTTTCCCTTCGGGGTTCTCGGGCAATAGCCCGCGGGGCAAGTAGATAAGGAAGGGCGCCGCTGCCGCTTCTGTAGCGGCACGTTAAAATCGCCCTCCTCTTTCCTCTCCTCGATGGGCGGGAGGGAAGGAAGGAGGGAGCGACGGGAGAGCTGAGAGCCGGGTGTTGACTTGTCTGAGCGCTTGTGTCCCCAGAGCGCCCTGTCAACATTTGACGTCCCCTCCCCCACTACACATCTTTCCGGAGTCCTCCTTTCCCGGGAGAGGATGGGAGGAGCTTCCTCTCGGACTGAAAAGGCCACCGCGGAGGGGGGGGGGGAAGGTTAGTGACCTGACCCCTTCCCCCTCCGCTTTTTAGGAGGTCTGGATTCTTGCATAAATTATGCCAGCAGTTGATGACGTTAATGGGCGGGGCCTGGGGAGTGCGCGCTCTTTCCTCCCTCCCGCTCGCCCACGGGAAGGAGGGTGGATAGTGGCGTCGGGGGCGCGCCTCGTGTCGGGCGGAGGGAGCCAGCGAGCGGACAGGCAGGGGGCGGTAGCAGCGGCAGCCGCCTGGCTGGCTGGTGTGTCGCTCGGCTTCTGCGGACGCGCTCGGGAACTATCGGATTAAACTTGAATCGAGTGAAATTACACAAAGGAGGGAAGCGGATCCGGGACCCGGTGGAAACCTCGAGGACCCTCAGTGACCCCCCTGGCCGGGCCGGATCAGGGGTATCCGCCCGCCTCGCTTTGATTGCCCGGCCGAAACCAACTCCCGGTGCGTGTGCGCCTGTGTGGGTCTCTTCTCTCCGCGCTTGCTTGTTTGTTTGTTTGTTTGTTTGTTTGCGGGGAAGAGGTGCTCCCGGGCGCCTCGGTTCTCCTCACCCCCCCTGCTCCGCTTCCGAAGACTGCGCCAAGCCCATCCCGACCCGGTAAGTGACCTCGCCTTGAGAATCGGGGCGAGCCGGAGGGCAACGGCGCACCGGCTCTGGAGCTGCTGCCCGGCTGGCCGGGCCCCACAGCAGGTCGGGGGAGGGGTAAGGAGAGCAATGGAGCCAGTGTGTGCGTGCGCGGATCCTCGCCCGGTTTCCGCCGGTGCTGCTCTCTGGTCCATGTGCATCCCCGGCCGAGGAGCTTTCCAGGATGTGGGGGGGTGGAGGGGGTGGGGAAGGGCGAAAGAAAGGAAGGAGGAGGAAGCGAGCTCACCGGAGAGCGGGAGCCGGAGCGACTCCGGCGGCGCTTCTCTTTCTGATCTCTTCTTCCCCCCCCCCACCCCGTTCTTTCCCCGAGCGCAAGTTTGGAAGGCGATTAAAATAGGAGGAAAAGTTGGATGAAAGTCTCCTTGAAGGCTGCGGGAGAAGCGGGGTTGGTTGTAGAATCGAAGGGGGCGCGGGGGGGGGGCGGCGGCGGAGGAGGACCGAGGGACTCCCGGGAACGCTCTCCCTCCGCCCTGCTGGCCATGCCGAGCGCTCCTGGCCCTGGCAGCACAACAAGCGCTAACAAAGTGCGGGGGGCGGCCCTCCCCGCCTCCCGCTAGCCTGATCCGGGGGCTCATCGCGCGGACACATGGAGCCGTTGGAGGCGGAGGGGAGAAGTGAAGGAGAGAAAGAGGAGAGGGAGCGCGAGGGAGCCGAAGGAAATGGAGGTGATGGTGGCGCGGGGGGTGAGCGGGTGGGTGGAGGAGAGGCACGAGGTTGCGCCGGGGTTATTTGTCTTCTCTGAAGAGGAGCGGGGGGGGTGGGGGGGGGGAGTGAAACGGGAGTCACACGCGGGGGACGGTGCGGGGAGGGGTTCCCTACTGTTTCCTAACAACCCAAGAAGAAAACTGAGGGGGGGGCGGCGGGAGAGGGAGGGACAGAAGAGGGGGGGGGGGGGGGGGAGAGAGAGAGAGAGAGAGAGACGCTGTCTAAGCGGGCTGGCGGCGGCAGCAGCAGCAGCAACAACAACATAATAGAGACTTAACCCCGCGGACCAAGTCTGCTTCCCTTTCTCTCTCTCTGTGTATGTCTTTCTCTC